AATGCTTTCCACTCTTGCTGCAAGGCATTCTCAAGTTCCCCAAGGTTGTTGATCTGTGGGCGACGTGAGAGGCGTTGGCCGATGTAATGCCACAGTGTTCAATTTTTATTTGAACATAGGAGTGTTGAGTGACACCTAGAACTACATAGAATCTTTACCTTGTAACACTTGCAGCGATTGGACTGACGACGCTTTGAGCCAGCACAGTTGCATTTAGTGAAACCTTGTCCACTACAGTAAGAGCATTGGTGAACAGCTTGCCGAAGGGAAATGGTTTTCTCAATGTTGAAGTCATCTACAGAGTACAGTCTCGTAGCACACATGTCGGATTGGTTACGAGCATACTTCCTATCGAGCTCACCACATTTCACTGCTATAATACACATTTCACTGCTATAGTACACATTTCACTACTGTAGTACACATTTCACTGCTGTAGTACACATTTCACTGCTATAGTACACATTTCAATGCTATAGTACTCATTTCACTGCTATAGTACACATTTCACTACTATAGTACACATTTCACTAATATAGTACACATTTCACAGCTATAATACACATTTCAATGCTATAGTACACATTTCACTACTATAGTACACATTTCACTACTATAGTACACATTTCAATGCTATAGTACACATTTCAATGCTATAGTACACATTTCAATGCTATAGTACACATTTCACTACTATAGTACACATTTCACTACTATAGTACACATTTCACTACTATAGTACACATTTGAATGCTATAGTACACATTTCACTGCTATAGTACACATTTCAATGCTATAGTACACATTTCAATGCTATAGTACACTTTTCAATGCTATAGTACACATTTCACTGCTATAGTACACATTTCAATGCTATAGTACACATTTCAATGCTATAGTACACATATATGTAAAAGTTAAAATGAATTAATGCATCGTTGCAATAAATCGACTCTCGCACCTTCTACCGCCCGAACATTATTTCAAGCGAACCCCATACAGTTGTGTCCCTTGGAGCACTCTTTACGAATACCCATGTACAACTTGTGATTAAAACCAGTTCGGCAAACACCGACAACGTCGCGTGCGACAGTTTTCGATGTACGGAGCAATTGTTTACATTCCATTATATTGCAAGTGTTCATTCGTAAATATTCGTGTCATTCCGGCAAGCCGGATGGCGTCTCGTACCCCTCTCATGACCATAGTTACGACTGGGCCCTGTCCATCGCAAACGAGCATTGGTGATGAAAATAGTCTAGTACTATTACAAGGAAAGATACCTCCAAACATTTCCAAACACGGCTCATAGAATATCCATTATCCCGTGGGCAAAACAGCAATACAGTCATTTCCTTTGTAAATATGTTTCAGTGTTTAAAGTTTGTCATCCTTTAGCTCAAGGTTTATGTTTGAATTGTGCTTTGAAAAGTTTAGCGAGGTATCAAAGTTCAGCGGTGCCGCCATTTCATGCTTCGAAATGCGTTTTACAACGCGCGATTTGTTTGGTGTGGTGCGATTCTTTGCAATAATGGCGTACGATAGGGGTACGAGTCTTCTTGTAGGTCACGGAAAGAGGCGAGTAGTTATGAATGGCAAGTTTTTTCTGGAAGCTGTTCGCCTCAAAGTTTTTTATGGATTTCAGGCAAGTCGTAAGGGATAATAAGTCTGTTATTGCATCAAGAGGTCGCTAAGGTGAGTGCATATGTCCCAAAATGCATAACATAGGCCAAAATATTGTGGAAAATGTGTGACATTGTACCTTGAACACTGTGCTGAGTTCCGTCGCCTGGGCCAAACATGGGTTCGAATTTCGTCTCGTCCCCATTATAGTTCTATACAGCACCAACGTGAACGTCTGAGACCTGCCTCAGTTCTATCTCTCCTCAGAACTAGCCGGTTCCATGTGATATAAATGGAATTATGTTCGGCGTTATGGTACAATGTGTGAAGCCCCATTTGATGTCCCCTGTTGTAATTTTGCTTGGACGTAAAACCATACTCACGCACTCATTTGTCACGCGGCAAGGAAACGGTGGGGTAGCCTTGTGGTTTAAGTGTTCGTTGGCCACGCCGAAGATCAGGGTTCGTTTTCTAACATGGATACAATGTGTGAAGATCATTTCTGGTGTGCCCCGAAGTGATATTGCTGGAATATTGCTGGAAGCGGCGTAAAACTAAACACACTCACTCACTAGTCACGCGGTAGGTTGACACATCAGTTGTCTTGACAGGTGTTGTGTTGTGGCATTCTCCTCCTTGATCGGCAGACTTTTAACAGTACTCACCCGATACATCCGGAACTACAGCCTCACTAATGTATGGCCTTAAATTCCAGATCTGGTGCCATACCACCCTGCAAGAAGGCCTGAGGAGTCACTTCCATGAGTTAGATTAATCTTCGGTCTCAAAGTTTTAAAAAATCATTGAAACCTTTCTGATTTTAGCATTTTTCAGTTGGGTCCTGGAATAACAAAAATGAGTATTTGTTTTTAATTCATAAACGAACGGGAGGAGTCATTGCACATCAGTGAAGACTCCGTGTGTTACATATACAAAGTAGGTCGTACGGCGGCAATAGGAAACTGTACAGTAATTTCAGAATCACACTGTTTCCCAGTACTGTCAATGCGTGGTATATGGTCGACAGAGGAATTAGCTCATAATCAAGATTAAGTGTACTTTGACAAAGATGAAGGAATACGTTGTGTTCAAACTTCTTTAGTTGGTTACACAAGACATGGCAAAGAAGTATACAAGAATGAGGTGAGCGGAGTTCCAGCACAACCCAGGGCGTTTCCTACGAGCGGCATTATCCTGCTCGCGGTCGTCCATACGCAGACAGTCGAAATACCGGACTGCTTGACAATATAGATGTCACGTATCTATAGAATTTTTGACAACAATGGACAGACGACGAGTCAACAATGGACAGATAGAGAAACAAAAGCACTTCCTTGATCAGTTGATGTGATGGCAGACACGGCCAAGGGGGATGACCAATTAGGGCAATAAATGTCATATACAATAATTAATGACAGTGACAAAGTGGTACAGGGTGGCTGGCAAGACAATGTACACTGCGGTAGTGATAAGGATTAAGATTGCAGATTGAGTAATTACAATAAAGTCACACATGGCTTGGCTACATAGTTTTGGAACTATTTAAATATTTGGACGATGTCTGTCCTGAATTAGTCACTATAACAGTACTCACCAAGCGAATACTATCTGATGCACTACCAGGTACCTTCATGCGAAAGATCGTCTCAACAAAATATTTTCTATATGATGTCAACTTTAACTTTATTACACAATTTTTGCATGAGTTAGAGTGTAACATTCTCTTCCCACATAGGTTACTGGTCATATCTTCCTACGAACCTCTGTTCTAATACGGCCCTTTCATGGTGCGAGTGTTCAGGATTCGTGATTGGTTGCAATTAGATTTAGTTGTGCAGTCAGCGACGTTGTTTCTAAAGTGATCATTCGCAAGGTAATTTCCGTATGCTTCGGGAAAACTAGAACCTCTTTCCCTGCGCGATGCACAAACGTTTCTTCAAGACAGAACTCAGTCATGTAACAGCTGATCAATGGCGTCTCTATCGCGCTCGCTGACAACGGACAAGCTAGCCATTAAATGCCTTGTGTGTCACATCAACACAAGTCCCCGGCAGAGGAGGGATATTTGTGGCCCCACATTTGCTTGCATTAATCTAGTTGGATCTAAGTCGGTGTAACACGTGTTCTGATTGGATAGAAAGAAGAGAGCTAATTCGTGTTGCGATTTTTGCCGCAAGGGGATTTTACGAGAACTGGGAAATATGGCTGTATTAGAACAGAGGTTCGTCAGAAGATATGACAAGTAACCTCTGTAGGGACAGATTAGGGGTGTGAAGGAACCAAAGAAATTAAGGTTGTTAAATCAAAAGGAACTTCTTACCTGCCTGCTTAAAAGACGTTGTTATCGATGACGTTTGACTGAGTCTGGCAATTAGCATTTGACTTCTAAGAATTTCCTTCGTAACGATCTCTGTATAACAGCATCAAACGCGTCAGCTCAGAGTCAGACATAGGGTGATGATGATGATGATGATAGTGATATCCATCCAGGAATGCATGCTCGTAGTGTAGCAGAGACATATTTCATGTTTTTAATAAGTCAGTTTGGTTTGTTTGTATAGAACTATTTTACAATTATTGAATATAAAATGGTGTTATAGTGTCTTATTGTTTTACAAGTAAAATAAGAATAAAAATATTATATAAGTCATAAAAAGGTCACTAAAAATATTGAAGGTTGGTGGTAGTGTTCTAAAGTTTGTGGTTTTATGCGTATGTCAATCATATTGATATTTGGTTGTATTTGTCAAGTATTTCGGATGAATTTCGTGGTACATTATGGTTTACCAACAAGAATCCATTCAGATCAAGGTGCCAACTGTGAAAGTCGTCTGATAGAAGAACTTTGTACAATTACCGGAATGAAAAAGTCAAGAACAACGCCGTACCATCCCATGGGTAATGGTCAGACGGAGCGCTTCAACCGAACACTTTTGAACATGCTTGGAACTCTTCAACCTGACCAAAAGAAGGATTGGAAAATGCATGTCTCTCCTCTAGTTCATGCCTACAATTGTACCAAACATGAAACTACTGGGTATTCTCCGTTTTATTTGATGTTTGGAAGTCATCCACGATTGCCGATAGACCTTGCATTTGGAATTGACTGGGATCACACAAGCCAGTCAATACAATCCTACACAACGTCTCTTCGTGACAGACTGAAGAAATCTTATGAACTAGCCACTAATATCACTCAAAAGTCTAAAGGAAAACAAAAACAGAACTATGGTCAAAGGCACTAGCACTCTATCACCAATATGTACAGCTGCTACATAGCTTACTTCAGGTCAATTACTAAGGCAGTAATTGACCTGAAGTAAGCTATGTTACTACATAGTTAATGTTAAATTTAATTAAGAATTGAATTAACTGAGTACTGTTTTAAATATTTATTTAATATAACCTAAGTTTGGATTTGGTATTTGATTTAATTAAGATATAGCAGTAGGAACCTAGTTACCTAAAAAAATGACTGAAGGAATTTACAACACAAGGACTAGTCATTCATGTCAACTCATCGTGCAATCACCCAATCATGTCACAAGGTAAAAAATACAAAATCCACACATCACACAGGCACAAAAATGAACCTATAAAATAAACATGGGCAATAATTGACACACATGGGCAACGACTAAGTTCATTTTGTGTTTCACCACCCCTAAAATTCACAAATATCACAGTGTTGAGATACAAGTATATATATTAAAACATGCTATAAATCAGAAAATGTATAATATCACAGAATCTGTAAATTGCAAACACCATATAATAACTCTGTAGATTCACTGCTGCACACATATAAAAGTCAAATTCTTGTTGTATAAAATGAATAAAAAGTCAATGTATACAGAGTTTCTGGTGTAAGAGCACAGCAGTGTGTTTAACACAGCACAGTTGACGTTAACACAGGCACATTATAAGTATCACAAGGCAAAATGACACACGGTAAAGTCACTCACAGACACATCAAGTCGTAGCAGATGAATTACAACTTCCGGTCCACATTCTTGTACCAGCAGAGATCAGCTCATGGTCCTTTCTGAACAATCCTCACTGGGGGCTCCAAATGTTACAGCTGGTTAAAACGCCAAGTAATGTCAATGGATCACATCACTCGCTGTATGGGTGAGGTGCGGTCTATTCAGATATTATACATCGAACCCTGAAACACACATAACAGTCTTAGAAACATTTACACATATTATATAAGTCATAAAAAGGTTACCCGAAAGGTGTATATCCTTTTTTTTTTATGTACACCTTTCGGGTAACCTTTTTATGACTTATATAATATGTGTAAATGTAAGACTACAGAATTGATTGTGGTAAGCTAATTGTGATACCTATGCAAAACGTTATGTAATGTGTAAATGTTTCTAAGAATGTTATGTGTGTTTCAGGGCTTAATGTATAATATCTGAATAAACCGCACCTCGACCCTACAGCGAGTTATGTGATCCATTGACATTACTTGGCGTATTAACCAGCTGTAACAGTAGCATAATACAAAAGTGAAATGTTGTATGATAAACCTTGAACACATTGCCCGATGATGGGTCATGAAACGGCTGAGTCTACTAGTGCCTACAGGGAATAACGCCTACAGTCTTATATAAACAACTTCACGAATTAATGGTTTTCAATTCTACAAACAGGTAGTGAAAGTCTATTTAGGTTCGCAAAGCCTCACACAAGGAAACTATGACTGCGGTCTTGTAAACTCAAGGGCATAGATTAAGTCTGCGCAGCAGCCATGGTATGTAGTATAATATGTTTTATAACATTTTCGATGGAGTGTGCATTGCCCAGCTGTTACACTCGTCCTCTCACCATCTCCAACATACACTGGGGAACCTTTCTCCATCTCCACTTCAATGTAATAATCTGTATTTGCTGTTATAGCCACTGGAGTATCCAGGTGATATCTCTTTATTTGACATGTTTCCAACACCTCTTCCGAACTTCGTAAAGTAACCTCATCACGTTCACGAACCATTTCCGTGTTATCGCTCCTGCTAATTGTACACGTTGAGAACTCTCTTTCTCCTCCTCCCCGTCCATACAGACATATACTGTTCAGAATGATGTCGTCAGAACAAGAAAAGTTGACTCGTCCAAATGCACCTTTTTGTGCTTTTCGCACATCACTGAATACTTTGTGTCCGTCGAAGAGAACAAAGTCCTTTCCTGATTGCCGAATAAAAGGGGATGGGTCTTTCCCGGGACACAGCAAACATGACCATATTTTAACATTTTCCGTATCTGTCAAAATCCCGCTGGGTACAACGTTGTCGACGTAAAACTCTTTGTCCATACTGGTGAAGGGAATCCTGTAGACTATATCACCCAGGATCGATCGGAGATTGTTGGGAGTTATCTCCCTTCCTTTCCGGCCACATTCGGCCTCTGCCCAAATTGTGGCGGCTTCGAAAGCGTTTTTAGGCAGGATAATGAGATCACGTGACCTCATGGCCTCATTAAAGCAATAATGAGACAGATACTTGAAACCCTCCGATGCGAAGCAGATGTCTCCATGCCGAGGCACAAGTTTAAAAGCTTTGTTGTAGAGATTTTTTTCATCAAACATATGCGCCTGCTCGAGAATCAGACAAGCATTTTCGGGTGTCAAACTTTTCTCCAGGAAAGTGAGGCACAGCTTCTCTAGACCCCCGACAGCATACTTCTTGGCCAGGTACAGCAATCCAGTGACATTTTCGGGCGTGACAGTCGCACAATCTGTGTACAGATACCTGCAAGAAACAACTGAACGTGTTGGCGATACTCATTAGACAAAATAGGGAAAATAATGGACGTTTTTGCATTTTATTGTTCGAAAACACGTTCTACATAAGTGTTCTCAAGATCGATGAGATTTCCAATACAAATCGTACGTTTTTGATTCAATGTCACGTACATTGCATTTGTTCAGCGACATCTGAAACACGGTGAACGTTGTTTCATGCTTACAATTCATATTATTTTATGCAAGATCAATACATTCTCCTAGACTGCATTATCAGTAAAAGGTCTGTTGTACTGCTGATGCATTTCCCAGAAAACCATAGTTCAATTTTGACAGCAATGTTGCTTTAGATATACACTGAGGTACACAAGAAAGTGCAAACCTTATGCTTTGGGATTATTTTCCTCCAAACGACGTAAAGTTTCTAAAAGTGTTCCGATTTACAGGACACAAACATTATGTACGTGTTGAGAATCACTTTCTGGTCTGGTTTACTTGTAAACGTGCATGCAATACTCACATCAGCATTTCCGAGAACACATCTGCCTCGACGTCAGATATTTTTATGTCATCTTTCTCCGCTAGGGGACCACACAGCATAGCATCAAACACATGGCTTCTGCTGATGAGCACGTAACGATGTGCACGGACGGTATCTTCATCTTTGCCAACCCGGAAGGTGACATCAGAGGTGTGTTTCGAGTTCAACATGTGGCGGTTACACTCGACCACGGACCTTCCATTTTGCCAGTTCTCAACGAATCCAGATTCAGCCATGTCTGTCTGTTCGCTAAATGAGAATTCAAAGAAAGTGTAAAGAAATTGCAAGATTCGGTTGTCAAGTCTGTCTGTCTGTCCACTAAAACGAGAATTCTAAGAAAGTGCAATGAATTTGCCAGATTCGGTTGTCATGTCATCTGTCTGTCTGTCTGTCTGTCTGTCCACTGAAATAGGAATTCAAAAAAAGTGCAAGAAATTTGCCGGTTTCGGATGCCATGTCTGTCTGTTCACTAAAAATGAGAATTTAAAGAAAGCACAAAGGTTATACAATGTTGTCAGTATTCATTAACTTCATGAAGATATCTGCTGATCTGAGACTAGTTCCGAACACGATTCACTGTAAATAGAAAATCTCCTATTGTTTAGATATTGTTTATGAATAATCTGGACCATACAATCCAGTGACTGAGCAATCTCATTCAAACCAGATCTTAGATCTAGCCGGAACTAACTTCTGACCAGTCAGAACGTATCCCAGTGGGAAAGCGTTCGCTCGTCACGCTGAAGACCCGGTGTCGATTCCCCACATATAGGTACAATGTGTGAAGCCCATTTCTTGTGTCCCCAGCCGTGATATTGCTGGAACATTGTTCAAAGCGGCGTAAAACTACACTCACTAATTCACTCACAGTTCCCAAAGGGCCATTCAAGCGTGACCTGTGCTGAAATGTCCCTATGTGTTGCGGAAAGAGCAAAAAGATTTTAATGATGCTGGTGATTGACATCATGAGCATCGATCTACGCAGTTGGGACACTAAAACATGCATCAACCAAGTTAGCGAAACTGACTACATGATCCAGTTATTTGTCTCTTACAACCAGCATGGCTTGGTGAAGGCAAAGTTATAACCCCAACCTTCACGGGGGCAAGTCATCTTTTCTTGTTTCAGACATCGTTATAGTGCGCAGGTGATCGCAACTCATTCCACTTTAGATCTCTTTCAATTAGAATGTGTGAATACATAGCTATTTTATAGAAAACTTGACACGTTGGAAAATATGGACAATAGCCTCTATGAGATTGTTGTAATCAATTAAATACATGAGTTTAATGCCAAAGATGATCAAGGTCATTTGTGAAACTGATTTTTTTTATCATTGACGCCAATTTAGTAACTCATAGTTTCAGAAGATATGCCTTCTGGTGTCGGGTGAGATAATTTACTTGATTTATCATCTAATAACTGTGATAAAAAATAGAATGTTACTAAACCGTGTCTGTAGTAATTCAATTCAGACGCAAAAGAATGAAATATGTTACTACCCACACTCGAACTCGGGAAATCGATGTCCCAGTTTACGAAACACTACACTTGTCAAGAGTTGCTTCCCCTCAAACATATTTTGCCCGTTGTTCCACTATACCTTTCAAACCGAAACTATCGTGCATTATTCCAATCTTTAAGGAACGTAATGTACACTTCCAATGCTTAATATATATTTACTGATTATGTCAAACCACATAGCATTATGTAAAACTACTAGGATTTAGAATTATTACGCTAACAATACAGATCTAGTTCAGTAAAAGGAAAGCAAAAGTAGAATGGCCGTACAAATAGAAACACACACACACACACACACACAGACACAGACACAGACACAGACACACGCATATTCAACTCAATGTTGGTTTTATATAGATTACTTACATGTATGTTATGCATAAATGTACTTAAATGAAGGAATTGTCAGGTAAAACAACCTATCTTACTCAAGTGATAAAATTATACAATACCCAAGACTCCCTGTTATCCCAATTGTTGACGGGTACGTGCGTCACGTGATTGTGACACCAAGCTCAGAACATTGATTGGTCTATTGTGACTTGTTCCTCTATAGCATACCCGAATAATGACTCATGCCTTTCTATGTCATTCAGTGTCCATTGACTGTGGTTTTGTAGATAAGCAGTTACAAATGAATGTATGTATTTAAATATTCAATGCATATGGGAATAATAAAATGTTGGTGGTGTGTACAGTCAACAGTTCAGTGAGCATGGGTTTACGCCGGTTTATCAATTTTAGAAATACAGTTCGCTCTACCCTCATGTATAGCGTAATAAAGACCACTCTTGCCCTGAACTATTATAGTTAAAGTTCGAGGACGCTTGCCAACGTACAAGTCAAAACATTGATAACACAACAGTCTCGTTTCCTGCTGACTGGGTTCCGTCCTATTGCGCAACTTTGTTCAATAACCAATCCAGAATTTTGACACAAATTCATTCAACTGGATACATAAATATTAATCAGTATTATTTGATACATCTAACCACTTGTATATTGCAACACTACGCCCCTTCTAATCCTTGCAAACACGTCGTGCAGCGTGCTCTGTCGTACAGCATGCTCTGACAAACGGAAATCTGGAAATCGTGGAAATCTCAAAACGAGGCTCTGCCGCTAGAAACGTTTGGCGGTCTGGTACGTACTTGATATTATATCAATCACATTGTCCGATACAAGACTACAATGCATAAGGGCAAAGAACACATAACAAGTGTAACCAGTGAGCCAAATGAATTGTGAATCATTTTACGACCTCATCAAACAGGGGCAGTCTGTGACCTCTTAGTTAAGGTCATGCTGCCTTCACCTCGCCATAAAATACAGAAATACGGTGTTATTAAAGTTTTAAATTACAATTAACTTGTAAATACCATTGTTATATGAAACAAGAATTTGGAATTCAGTGTAACCATTGTTGTTTGTGGTGTATCTTTTCACTTTCACACGAGAAACTTCGAATCGGCTGAAAAGTAGGTCATTGCCTGAATAGGTTAATAAGACTCATGTTTCGGTTTGCGCAGTTGACAACAAGAAAGTCTATTTCCAGCTGAAAACCTTATATTGTGTCACCGAATGGTCAGTTTCAAACAAAATCGTCGGAAATCCGCGGATCAGCGGAAAATTGCCATCCCTGACGTAAGTTTAGAACAGTAAATCCAGATGAAATTGACCAGTCACGCGACATTCCACGGATGCATGCATTGTGGAACTGTGGACGTTGGCTTAGTCAGCAAACATTGCCGTGTCGCTGTTTAATTGTGAGTCGAGCTGAGACATTTATCCGTCGAAAAAGGTTAACTTCGTAAAAATGTTTCCAGCAGTGATTTTAGCCGAATGGAGCAAATGCAATGAAAGAAACGAGGTGCTACGGGTAGTTCACAGTAAGCGACTGTACCAGGCGATGACAACTGACATGCATCGTAACGTCGGTTAATAGGGTACGTTTAAATACGAAGGGGCAGAAGAGAACGGAGTAGTGACGTCAATACAGTGTGACGTAATGTAAAAAAAGTGTACTTTATCGCCTTTGATCTTTAATACCCCCTTCACTCTTGAGGCGGAATGAGCCGCAATGCCGTTGGAATGAACATGCCTGGAGATTCATGGAAATTCGAACTGCATTCTAAAACTTCTTACTCAATTCCGAATGCACTCCAACTATGTTCAAAACTTTCGAGGCACATTCGAAGTGGAAAAATATTGCTACACCAGCACTGCCAGGAGATGGTTCGGGTATAATGCTACACCAGCACAGTGAGACCGTGGTTCAGGTATAATGCTACACCAGCACAGTCAGACCGTGGTTCGTGTGTAATGCTACACCAGCACAGTCAGACCGTGGTTCGTGTATAATGCTACACCAACACAATTATACTGGTTGTGCTGGTGGTTCGGGTATTATGCTACACCAGCACAGCCACGCAGTGGTTCGGGTATAATGCTACACCAACACAATTATACTGGTTGTGCTGGTGGTTCGGGTATAATGCTACACAAGCACAGCCACGCAGTGGTTCGGGTATAATGCTACACCAGCACAGCCAGACTGGGGTTCGGGTATAATGCTACACCAACACAGTCAGACAGCGGTTCGGGTATAATTCTACACAAGCACAGCTAGACTATGGTTAGGGCATAATGCTACACCAGCACAGCCACACCGTGGTTCGGGTATAATGCTACACCAGCACAGCCAGACCTTGGTTCGGGTATAATGCTACACTAGCACAGTCTTTGGTTTCGCAAACTATAATCTGTTAAGTGATGGCCCCTTGCTGTACATTGTAAGTTCCACGACAACGCTGTGATCGCTAAGGATCTTGGAAGGTGATATGTCACGTGAGTCACCTTCACCTTGTTGATGTTTACAACGGACGAGACTGCTTTCTTCGAACGGATTTCGGTTGTTTCGAGTGTGTGTTCAGGTAATATACCTATAAGTTAATTTATTTATATTTGTGCGATGTATCTGTCGGACATTTTGCCGTTGGTTTTTTTTTTTAATGTTTTTAAAGGGGTCTAGAGCTACTCCAGTTTTCGTTGACTCATCATGGCGAATATTTCATATCGTACAGCCTTTTTAGGTGTCCGAGTAATCAGCAGCGGACTGTCCTCTTTATCCACGATCAGCAGATCTGAGACGAGAATCTCAATACAAATGTACTTTCAGTGCAGTGATTTTTGTAACCTCCAGCGTCAAGCCCTCATTAAAATCATGGGACAATTTTTTGGTTTGCTGGCAGAGTTATCTCCCGCACATGGAAGGTCATCAAACTACGATTGGTGGCTTATCAGCACGGGGAAATGCTTTCAAAGTCAACGTACCGCTCAAAACATGGGCAACGTAACATGTTTTGCGAACAGACTTTTGGCCACTGACTGTATTATTTTTAATTCAGACATACTGTTCTATACCTTGGACTTTTTGTTCCGTGACACATAAATACATTTAACTTGAAATTCAGACAAAAGCTTATTTTCCGAGCTATTACATTGTAAGCCTGAAAATAGCCACCTTCAAAGTTTGAATCTTTTTAGGACAGTTGGGTGGATTATTACAGAAATTATCGCTTCCAGATTATTGTTAGTTTACACAAATACCGTCACGTATTATCATATATTATTCTCTCAGTAGGAACATTGTCAGTGCATGTTTTTCTTGTAGCTCAAATCAATATCCATCCTCCCAAATCAGGTTGGGCAAAATATCTTCTAA